GCCTAGACCCTTTTCTGATGAAGGGTCTAGGCCCGAAACGTCAGCCTTTCTGCTCCTATGATGCTGCTTGGCCTGCTGTGTTCATCCAGCCCTGCACCTTGTTGGAAAAACCCATCTGGTTTATTAATGTCCTTCAGGGAAGGAAAATGCCATCCATACTCTGTCTGGCCTACATGAGACTCCAGACCCACAGCAATGTGGTTGACTCTCAACTGCCCTCTGGGCAATTAGGGATGGGCAAAAACGCTGCCTTAGGCGACTTCCTCATCCCATGAATGAATAAAGAAGAAAAAGACCAGAGTATAAAACAATTTATATATAAGGAATGCAAAATAATGATAAAATATTAAATATTATCTTGCAATAATGGCATAATTCCTCCTCAACCACGTCAGAAAATACAGGGCCTTTACATCTTAGCTTTCATGTTAGGAATTTGTGAACTTTAATGGAGTTCCAACACGATCTATGAGAACTAAGATTTCTGTTCAGCAGTGCTAGGCTAAAAAAACTGTCGAAAATTATGATGAAATTTCTGTCTGGTATCTGCTGTGGCTGAGCAGCTCTACTCTGAATCAGACACTACTGGTTCATGGCCCACATCAGAATCTTCAGCACAAAAACGCAAGCTGACAGTCTGGTGTAGTACTGAAAAAAACTACATTTTGAAGGTGACATTGAGGCCTAAACTGAATTCTCATGGGACTATTTCAAAGCACAGGTGAATTAACCTGTGTCCTTCTCAATATTTACCTCTTCAGGGCAGTATGGTGGCTCAGTGGTCAGCACTGCTGCCTCACAGCGCCAGGGACCCGGGTTCGATTCCACACTCGGGAGTGCCCCAGTTTCCTCCCACAGTCTGAAGATGTGCAGGCTAGGTGGATTGGCCATGCTAAATTGCCTGTAGTGTTCAGAGATGTATAGCTTAGGTGGGTTACAGGGGAATGGGCCTGGGCGGGATGCTCCTTGGGTCAGTGTAGACTTGTTGGCCCAGAGGGCCTATTTCCACACTGTAGGGATTCTACAGATATTTATAAAACTTATGATGTGCATCCCTTGGCTGTTGTATTTCTTAAACTGTAACAATGACAACACCTCAAAAATACTCACTCGCCTGCCATGCACATTTGGACATTCTGAGTTTGTGAAAGGTGTTACATAAATTCAAGCTTCTCTTTTCTGCTGTAAATGGATGTTTAAAAGTCTAAAATGACTGCATATTTTCCTTTAGGAAGATGATGCTTCCTTTAAGAAGTGAGTACTCGGGAGGAGAGAGTTGGGATTTCCTGAAGAGATGTCTCTAGTTTCGCAGAGGATCACCAAGCGTTTGCTCATACCGACTAAAGTCTGAAATATTGGAATTTATTTCTCCCTCAGTGTCCTGTGGTACTGAGAACTGCTTGATGGCCACGAATAGAGGAACCGAATGGTAATTTGTGAACTCCAAATGCACCAAACTCCTCTTACATTCAGGATTTATGTAATATTTGACGAGGAATCACCAGTTTTTGAATCCGCAGCGTATATTTTACATAATATGGATATGGCGATCGACCTTGAACATCTCATAATGGGTACGTAAGCTTAGCATTTCTAAAAAAAAAATGGCGGTGAATTAAATACCAACGAAAAGTAACCGAAAGGAAATAAGCTTTGGGATGTCCTGCTGGGGCCATAGTTTCCTTCCCCATTCTGATAGGTAAAGTTAGAGGGAACTTTAAACTGGTTACTTAGGTACTATCTTTTCTACAAATAAACGTCCTTACACTCAGAAGGCGGCGTGGTCACTTGTTGAAAGTTCTCCAGGATCCATCCTTGCTATTGTTTGTGGGGCGGGGGGGGGGGGGGTACTGGTGGTGCGTGTGTAGTTTTATTTTCATTGACAACGTTATCACCTGGTACCACGGTCTCCTCGGTAACAAATAGCCTCCCCGCCGGAAGTGCGCTTCGCGAAATGAGTTCCCCCTCCCCCCCTTTAAACGGCTGAGGTGTGCGTCGCAGAATTTCTTCCCCCCAAACCCCCGGCAGAACTGTTTCCGGTATTCCTCCGTTTCCGGTAGAGGAAACAGAATGGCGCTTGGACGGCGTAAAATCTGAAGTGTCCTTCGTGTTAAAATCTTTCCCCGGCCAGGGAGAGAGCTGGATGAAGTTTAATATACATTGGTGTTTGTGTGAGCGTGGAGAGAGAGAAAGAGAGAGACAGAGAGAGAGAGAGAGAGGTGGATCTGTCCACCCTCTAGATTGTTCACATTGTAAAGTGAAAGTGGAAGGAGGCGAGCAGAACGCCCCAGACCAGCTCCGCTCGGCTTCCTACAACCACTGCCAGGCCCAAAGCCTCGGAGGCCGAGCGTGTCGACTCTCTCCACAGTGTTCTGTCGTCAGCGACCTGCAAAGAGAGATCAGAAGAAATGATCATTCGTGCAGCACAGAAAGAGATCATGCACCCACCGTGAACTTATAGTTCCAATCCTCCATCTGCGAGCAAAATCAACCTGCGCGTGTTTACCTTTTGCAAATACAATTGGGAGGTGCTGGAGTAGAGGTATTGCATTTATAGATTTGTCACCTGGATACCAAGATTTAAATTCCACCTTGACGAAAATGTGGAATTGAAAGCTGGTCTCAGTCATTGTGACAGTGAAGCTACCATTGATTGTCCTTAAAAACCCACCTGGTTTACAATGATCATCTGGTCTGACCAACATACCATTCCAAATCCATCAATGTCATTGAGTCTTTACTGCCATCTGAAATGGCCCAGCACATCTCTCAGTTCAAGGGTAATTAGAGATGGATAATAGATCCAGCAACACCCACATGCCAAGAAATAATAAAAAGTCCCTTTTGAATGTTGGATGTACATCTGTCCATTTCTCTTGCACATTTATCTATTGGTCTCCCTTTCCGGTTCCAAAAAAAGTTAGAAATTATCACTCAAAAAGCTGGAACTTTATTGCATCTCTGCATGGCTGTGGGCGAATGGGACATTATTACTAATGCAGCAAGGTAGTGAAAGGTGGCAACCTAGGATTCACATAACAAATAGTTCCTAGTTTTATATTGAATGATATAACGGTATAAGATCACTCTTAAAAAATACAATCCCTCTATATCAACAATGTTCCAATAATTAGGCAACATCAGAGGAGCAGGAAAGTTGACGCTTTGGGTTAGGACCCTTCCGAAACGTCAACTTTCCTGCTCCTCTGATGCTGCCTGGTCTGCTGTGCTCCTCCAGCTCCACACTGTGTTATCTCTGACTCCAGCATCGGCAGTTCTTACTGTCTGTTCCAATGATTAACTTTTTTCTCAACATAAACAATCGGCAATCAACATTCATAAATAAAATGAACTTGTTTTTTATAGCTTGTTCTCTCAGATAAACGTTATTAATAATATCACCGAAGGTAAGATGCATCTCCAACTGTTGGATTTGGCTTTCATTACTCTCAGCAATGCGTTGCAAGCTGCACAGTTGATGTGGTGTATTTTTATAATCTGATTACTGATAATTAACATTTAAGAAGAAATCAAAATACTTCATTTTAACCAATAGAACTTTGGCACATGATTTTATTTTTAAGCAAAATCACCACTATTAGGTTAACAATGCAGTTTATGTCTACGTAGATTATACCACAGGTTTACCTCTCATTTCCCCCAAGAATTTTCTTAAATTACACATAAATTCAGAAAGCTACTGCTGTAGGACCACCCCCATAAGTGGTCCTCTAGAGAATTGTCCTCTACTCCAGCTATTCTCGGCTAAAACTTTCACTTACCACCTCTTGGCTCTGGATTTTCAAACAGGGCAATCTCCCAGCTCTGTTCCCTCACAAAATTTAAAGTGAGATTAATTTTCACGTGTTCTCCACACAGCCAGCAGTTTATTAAAAAATCTGCTTATAGTGCAGGTTTATCTGTGATTTGTTTTGGCTATTTTCTGTCAATAAATCATCCTGACTAGTTCCAATCCATAACCAACTCTCAACTACAAAATCTAGGTAAATTGAAATCAAGCAACCTTCTTGGGTTCCATGCATCCCCATAATGATATAGCCTACTCTGGAATGCTCTCAAACTGACATTTAGATTAGTTATCCCCATTTACAATTATTTGATCTGATGAAGTAAATGGATTTTACAGTCTTTCAGGGTAATGTTTTTAAGCAAAGTCAGCCCATACTCCCAAAACAAAACCATCTGTCTAGACTGTATTCCTTGCAGGCATTTTAGATATCACATCTCCAGCTCTGTATCTGAGTACATCCTCCTGCTGTTTTATAGCTTTATCTCTTCTGTTCTGACATTATTAAACAATGTCTAATTAGAAGAACAAGGTGTAGAATCTATTTGCGTGGAGCTAAGAGACTACAGGGGTCAGCAGTTATTGGCAGGAGTGGTTTATAGATCACCAAACAATGGAAGTAATTTAGGGCATGGTATAAATAAAGAAACTAGAGGTGTGTGAAGTAAGGGAAATGTAATAATCATGGGTTTATATTTAGACTTGATAAATCTAATGAGTACCAGTGCTATGGAGTAAAGAGTTACTAGGATATGTTCGAGAGAGTTTTCTGGAGAAATATGTTGAGTAACCATCTTGCCACAGGCTATTTTAGATCTAATTTTATGCAATGAGAAAGACCAATAAATAATCTTGTAAGTAACCTTTAAGAAATAGTGACTATAGCATGATAGAATTTTCCATTAAATTTGAAAAAGAAGGTATAGCTTAATGTGAAACCAGATTCTCAAATCTAAATTAGGGTAATTATCAAAGTATTGGGAGGACTTTGCCTGCAGTCAATTGGAAAAATGTATTGAATAGTTTGACAATAGATAGGCAATGGTTAGTATTTACAGATTATATTATTATTTGATGCTTATTTTTTAAAAAAAGAATCTGCATTCCTTTAAGGCAAAACTGCCAAACAGAAAAAGCAAGAGAACTGTGGTTAACAAGGGAAGTCAAAGATAGTGTTAGATCAAAGACGGAGGCTTATAAAACTGCCAGAGAAAAAGAGTCCGAGGATTGGGGGAATTTTAGAATGTAGGACCAAGAAATTGATGCAGAAAGAGAATATAAATATAAGCTAGCAAGAAGCATAAAAATAGACTATAAGTTTCTGTAGAGTCATAGTGATATCCAGCACAGAAACACACCTTCAGTCCAACTTGTCCATGTCAACCAGATATCCTAAATTAATTTAATCCCATTTACCAGCATTTGGCCCATATCCCTCTAAACCTTCCTATTTATGTACCCAGCCAGATGCCTCTTAAATGTTGTAATTGTACCAGCCTCCACCGCTTCTTCTGGGAGTTCATTCCACACATGCACCACCTTTTGCCTAAAAAAGTTGCCCCTTAGGTCCCTGTTAAATCTAACCAATGCCCTGTACATAATTATGTAAACAGGGAAAGATTAGCAAAGAAAAATATGGCAGAAGCAGAAGTAACACTAATGGGAAATGAAGAAATGGCAAAGAAGGGAAATAATTGTTTTGTTTTTGTGTTCATGGAGGAAGATGCAAGGCCTCTGCCTGGAATAACAGTTCCTGTGTATTGAAGGTTAGCCAATAAGGCCACTATTTTAAAAGGAAGTAGAGAGAAAACAGAAATTATTCATTGGTTAGCCTGACATTGGAACTAGGAAAATGCTAGAGTCTGTTATAAAATATTTAATAGCAGAGCACTTTGACAACAGTGACAGGATTGGATAGAGTCAGCATGGATTTATGAGAGGGATGTTATGCTGGACAAATCTACTGGAATTTCAAAGATTTAACCAGTAGAGTTGATACGGGGGAACCAGTGGCTGTGGTTTACTTGGACTTTCAGAAGGATTTCGTTAGGTACCAATAAACATGTAAAATTAAAGTGCATGGGTTTGGGGATGGTGTACTGACATGGATACAGAACTGGTTGGCAGACAGGAAGCAAAGAGTAGGAATAAATGAGTCATTTTCTGAGTGGCAGGCAGTGACTAGTGGAGTACCGCGGGGAAGTGCTTGGATCACAGCTGTTCATTGAAAGACATTGTAGCTGTTGATTTCATTTGGCATAGTGAGGTTATAGAGCATGTTAAGATTAATAGAGGAGGTATTAGATGTCTTAGTGAGCGTGAAGGTTCGTAAATTCCCAGGGTCTGATGAGTTGTAGCGCAGGTTGCTGTGGGAGGCAAGGGAGGAGATGCTGGGTCCCTGACAGAGATATGTAGTACTTCGCTGGCTATAGGTGAAGTGCCAGATGACTGGAGGATAGCCAATGTGGTTTCTTTGTTCAAGAAGAGTAAACTTATTACAGTGGAGTTATTCTCACGTCATTGGTAGAGAAATCATTGGTCTGAGAGACAAGATTAATTAACACTTGGAAAGGCAGGGATTGATCAGGAATAGTATAGATTTGTTAGAGGGAGGTCCTGTCCAACTAATTGAGTTTTTTGAAAAGGTGATTAAATATATTGATGAAGGCAGTGCAGTTGATGTGGTTTACATGGACTTCAGTAAGGCCTTTGGCAAGGTCCCACATGGAAGACTGATCCAAGTCAAGTTGGCAAACTGGATCCAAAACTGGCTCACAATTAGGAGGCAAAGAAAGATGGTGGAGGGTTGTGTTTATGATTGGAAGCCTGTGACCAGTGATGTACCACAGGGATTGGTGCTGAGACTCTTGCTATTTATTATGTACATTCATAACTTGGATGTCGATAAAGAAGGTAAAATTAGTAAGTTTGCAAATGGCACAAAAATTGATGGTGTTGATAGTGGGGAACATGGTCTCAGTCTACAGTCAGATATTGGTCAGCTAGTAAATTGGGCAGAGCAATGTCAGATGGAATTTAATCCCAATAAGTGTGAGGCAATGCATTTTGGCAGTTTTCGTAAGGGAAGGATATACACAATGAATGATCAGTCCCTATGGAGTACTGAGGAACAAAGGAACCTTGTAAAACAAGATCTCTGAAGTTGTCAACACAGGTAGATACAGCGATGAAGAAGGCATTTGGGATGCTTGTCTCCATTAACCAGAAGATAGAATATAGGAGCGAGGACATTTTGTAACAACTTAACAAAACATTGGTTAGGCCACAGATGGAATACTGTGTGCAGTTCTGGTCACCATACTATCAGAAGGACGTGATTGCACTGGCGTGGGTGCAGAGGAAATTCACCAGGATGTTGTCTGGAATGGAAAGTCTCAATTATGAGATGAGACTGGATAGGCTGGATTTGTTCTTTGGAGCAGAGGAGGCTGAGGTGGCTTTGATTGAGGTATACAAAATTATGAGAGGCATAGACAGAGTGGATAACGAGAGGCCTTTCCCCATGGCAAACGTATCTAAGACTAGAGGGTATAAGTTTAAGTCTATGAATTTAGAGG